CGCCTACCGCCCTCTGGGTAGGCGATTTTTAAAAATCGCCCTCCCAGAGGGCGGCGAAAATGACGTGGCAGACGGCCGTTCGCTCTCGGGCGACGGCCGTCAACGAAATTTGCAGGCGGCCCCCTTGCCGCCCTCCGCGAGGGCGATTTTGTACTGTGCGGGGGGCCGCCTGCAAATGGGCGGCGAGGGGGGCATGGAATTTTGCAGGCGGCCCCCTTGCCGCCCTCCGCGAGGGCGATTTTGTACTGTGCGGGGGGCCGCCTGCAAATGGGCGGCGAGGGGGCATGGAATTTTGCAGGCGGCCCCCTTGCCGCCCTGGGGGAGGGCGATTTTGTACTGTGCTCTATATTTTTGTATAAATATCAATAGTTATCAAATCTTTTTATATTGAAAACTATACAAGATTAAAATCTCCAAGACTGGTAAAATACAATTTTATTATTTTTTAGGGCATATTTGGATTGTTACCGTACAAATATTTTGTTACCGTACAAATATTTTATTAATTTTTAGGGCATATTTGGATTGTTAGTGCCAAATTTTTCTTCACGACCAAATATTTGGTAAGGTAAAATTGCATTTGATCATATTTGGTTTGCTGCCAAAATGTAAAATTGTAGTGAAGAATGTTCTACATAATCTCAAATCTAGATTACGTATTACCAATGAATAGGCTTCCATTTTCGTGTGTTGTGTGCTAGTGGGAAAGAAGATATGAAGAGGTTGCCTTCAGATTGTCAATTATATAGCGTCGTTTTCACTGCAATATATGTGAACTCAATGAGATACATTATTCATTAGATGTGACAAGACGATCACGCGTGGGCGTGATTCACTTTATGTAAATAGGCAGCGCCGAAAGTTGATAGTGATAACTCGAGCTGCCGCTTTTCATGTGTGCTGTTGTGGACTGTGCGCGCTACTGGATCTGACACTACCGTGCAGCGCCGAAAGTGTGTTGTCGTGAGCATAAGTTGTTCTAGCACCATATGAATGAAAAGAACTATGTAGACGAGACAAACACAAGTAGTACTGCAGTAGTAATAGCAAAAGTAGTACTGCTTTACAAGTTTGTAAGCCAAAAGAAACGGTCACATAAGGACTGAAGAGGTAGAACACTACTGACGAGGCCTCTTACCCCTGTATCAAATAGGTTGATCAGAAACATATAAATAATTAGTTCAACATAAGTAATAAATGTTCATAAGCGAATTACTAACACATATTAAACAAGAGTACAAACAAACAAAAGTGTTTAGTCCGAACACTCATCACGATAACATTATGATACAACACCGAATAATTCGCAATACTACTAGTACAACAATAGTCGGAGGTACTCATTACAACAACATTGAATTGAAATTACACGATAGAAGTATTTAGTCCGAACACTCATTACATCACAACAGCATTTTATTTCCTAAATCGAAAGCATTGTTACACCATGGAATCGCCTGCTGCGCGACGACGCCTTGGCCTTGCGCGCCTGCTTGTTGTTCCTTCACCAGGTGGTCGCCTACCATCACTTGCCTGTCCAGATGGACTAGCATCTGCGCCGCTTGGAACTTCTGCATTCTTCGGGCATTTCTTGTAAGTATGGCCGCGCAGATCACACTTGCTGCAGCGTAAAGTCCTCCCACCTGCTTCTGACTCATCCATATCATTTCTGATGCGTCTAGTTTGGCGTCGACCCTTTTTCACCCTTAACTTAGATGGATCTGGAATATAAAAAACTTGGGCACTCAGCGTTGTGTAAGATCCTGAGATCCCGAACCCATATATCTCCTCACTCCATGTATGAAAGATTGCTTCTTTCCTGAAATAATTTGAGACGTACACATTGGGAGGTATGCCACAATCACCGGCAGCAGCAAGAACGTGTGAGCAAGGAAGGTGATGAAGCTTCGGCTTCATACAACTGCAGGTACATCCACCATCCGCCTTCAAGACACATTCCTGCACGGCTTGCTTGCGATAGATACCACGCCTGCTCCTATCAACACACATTATTTCATACCGATGCACTTGTGTGCCTTGAGCAACAACTCGATGTCTCCGTGCCTTTTTGATTTTATCTTCCATGTACTTTGTCACTACGTTGCCAAACACTATGTTGTCATCGGCCATGGACGGACCAATTTTCTTGTATCGATCCCTAAAGTACGCTTGCGTGCCGTGAAGGATGAATTCAACAATAGCAACCAATGGAAGTACCCGAACTCCTCGCATTACCCAGTTGTACACCTCTGCCAAATTGGTTGTCATTATGCCATACCGAGATCCATCGGTGTCGAACAATAGAGACCACTTCTCCTTAGGCTCATTCTCAATCCACTGAGTGAAATTTCTGATGGACGACCCTGACCTCCTTCTCATTGTTGGTGGGTCATCATGTAATGCACCAAGAGGTATGGGAGGCTCGTCACCTTCAACTAGTGGTCTGCGAGATTGCTCATCTGTTTGCTTCGTTGTCAACTCATCCAACTTGTCCCACAACTCATTAAATTTCTTCTCTTGGTTCTGTGCACAGAGCCTCTTAAAGAGCTCCATAAGATGCTTGTTCTTGAATTGCTTGTAGAAATTTGCACCCATGTGACGCATGCACCACCGACTCCGAACATCAGGCCACTTAGCTGGAAGTCCCTTCTCATCCCAACCGTTCTGCAAGTAGTCAATAGCCCGCAACATACCCGCATGACGATCATGTATAAGGCAAACGTTGGGCCTCATACGCACCACTGCAATGTGCACTCTCTCTAGGAACCAGTACCAGCTTTCAGTGTTCTCACTCTCTACAAATGCTAAAGCCATAGGTAGAACCTGGTTGTTCCCATTACACCCAATTGCTGTCAATATCTGACCTCGGTATTTACCTGTCATAAAAGTTCCATCTATGCATAGAACAGGTCGACAATGCACAAAAGCATTGATGCAAGCACCCAATGAGAAAAAGGCTCTTTGCAGCACACTCTTTGTTCGATCATCAACCGATGTAAATGTATGTAGGTCATAGTACGTATTATTATTCCTCTGGGCAATGATGGCTAACAAACGAGGCAAATTATCATAAGAAGCTTCAAATGTGCCATACCTCATCTCAATGATCTTTTGTTTGGCTCTCCAGGCCTTTGCATAGCTTATGGTGTACTTGAATTTGTTCTCGATGTGCCTAATAATTGATTTTGGTTCAAAGCCAATGTTACCAACAACACTGCTGTACATCTCACTTGCCATAAAAGCTGAAGTGATGTTTCGGTGATACTTCTCCACCCCTTGTAAGTAGCACTTGTGCTCGGTCACAATGCTAACTTTCCAATAATCATTCCATTTACCCTTATATGCATGGACACGCCACGGACAATCTTCCTTCATGCACCTCACTTCATACACATAATTTGTTGACTTGACCACCCTAAACTCTCTCTGCAAGGAAACTGCCCAATGCTTCACCGCCTCCTTCATCTCATCCTTATGAGCATATCTTGCACCCTCAATTACCTCGTTCTCCTTATACTCCCAGGGTACATGATCACCCTCTGATATAACAAGTCCAGAGAAGTCCTCATTTGCCCAATCAGTGGCCATTACATCACCTTCCTCATCGGATGATGCGTCGTCGTCCACTTCCTCATTATCCGAATCTTCCCTCTCCATTTCATCAACAATTATACCGACTCTCTCCCCCTCATCCGCCATGCCCATAGCCTGCTCCTCCCTTGGTTGATTTTCCTCATTTTGCATCGATGGTCCAACAACATCCCCTGCATTGATAGGACCCTCTACATCTTCGGTTTGCATTGAAACATTTATATCTTTCTCTTGTACCGACACAAATATAACGAGGGGCCATGACCATTCAAAAGCCATTTCGACATACCGTCTCCAAGCATCAGTGCTGTCCATCGGCATTAGTTCCCAAAAATAACCTTCTGTTGCACGACTCACTACAACTGACACTGACATTGTGTAGACTTCTTGGTCTATTCTAAATCCTCTCAACAACCAACTATAAATTGACTGAAATGTTCTCTCCGCAGGCCTATCGATGCCCTTAGATGTCATTACAAAATCTGACAGATCAACACCATCTGGACCAAATCTAATATTTCCTTCACCGTGAACTATCTGAAATGTGACCTTACTTGACATTGTGCCTGATGAAAACAATAACTGCGTTAACCTCGCATTTCTGTACTACGCCCTAAGTTACATTCTCTACAATATTGTTCTCTAAATTTCTAAAATTACGTTACATTCTCCAGATCAAACTAAACTACATCTTACAATTAACACTACTGTCTATGTCTCAATTCATACTATTATATTCTATGCTCTGGATCTACACATATGTGCTGTGTGCTACAGATGTGCTAAAATATATGGAACTAAAACTAAAACGCAACATATATACTCAAACATAACATATTAGTACAAATGCAAAAGATGTATGGGAGCATACCTGTGATGAATTGAGCGAACCAGCAGGGCTTCGCCGCTCCCCTTCTGCTGCCCTCCCCTCTCTCTCTTTTGTTTTTTTTGGATTTTTAGTGAATATAATGAAATTTCACATAGGAGGGACTGGGCTTTATAGGGGGAGAGGCAAAAATCGCCCTCCCCCAGGGCAGCAAGGGGGTCACCTGCAAAATTCCATGCCCCCTCGCCGCCCATTTGCAGGCGGCCCCCCCCCACAGTACAAAATCGCCCTAGCGGAGGGCGGCAAGGGGGCCGCCTGCAAAATTCCATGCCCCCCCTCGCCGCCCATTTGCAGGCGGCCCCCCGCACAGTATAAAATCGCCCTAGCGGAGGGCGGCAAGGGGGCCGCCTGCAAATTTCGTTGACGGCCGTCGCCCGAGAGCGAACGGCCGTCTGCCACGTCATTTTCGCCGCCCTCTCCCAGAGGGCGGTAGGCGACTCCTTCCGTTAATTTTCAAAATGGAAAATTATTTTTGTAAAACTTTTAATAAAAAAAATTATAAATAAAAAAAATTCGCCATCTATACCCTCAGCCTGAAGTGGCAGGGAGGCGCCGCCGCAAAAAACCCCACCGGATCCGCCGCTTCCTCCGCCGCGGTGGCGCTCGCCGCTCGCCGCTAGCTCTCGCGTCGCCACCGTTTAATCCTCGCTTCCCCCCACCCACCACCGCGGCCGCCGCTTTGCTGCAGAATCTCAATCCCCATGGCTCTTCCACGAGGCGTCCGCTCCCCCAAGCCGATGGCCGCCGCCGCCGCCTCCGCCTCGCCGCCGCAGCCGAGGCCCGGGCACATGCTCGTGCTCGGCACCGGCTTCGTCGGCCGCTACGTCTCCCAGCGCCTCCTCGCGCAAGGATGGTCAGCTACTTACTTCCCCTGCTCCTCCATTTTGGATCGGATTCTGCTGCTATTGCCGCCGTACGTTTCTCCTAACGACCAATCACGATTTTGCGGCTGGATTCATTGATTGGTGGATGCAGGAGGGTGTCCGGGACGTGCACCAGCCCTGCCAAGAAGACGGAGCTCGAGATGCTGGGCATGGATGCTTCGATCTTCGATGCCACAAGCAGCAGGTGCTGCTTCTTCTTCTTCTTCTTGCTCTTCTTGTTCTTTGTTCCTTCGAGGTTAGATGCACAATAGTAATTGCAAATCCTTTGCGCCGATGTGATGTCTGCCATCCCTCATTGTTGTTCAGCATGCGTTGCTACATTTTTGTGTTCCTGCACATGATTTGTTGTGTTTCGAATCCGTTTACATGATTGCTGATGTCTATGTCAATTTACAGTCTGACAAATCTCCGGTTCTTGTTCTTGTTCCTTTTAGGTTCGATGCACAACTCTTGTGCTGATATGATGTCTACCATCTCTCATTTGTTCAGCATGTGTTGCCAATTTGTTTGTGTTTCTGTGCATTGTTATGTTTCAAATGAGTTTACATGATTGCTGATGTCTATGTCAATTACAGTCTGACAAATCTCCGGTCTTTGCAAGATGCAACTCATTTGCTCATCTCCATTCCACCCATCCCGGGAATTGGTGATCCTGTACGTTCTCAATTGCTTGTTGATGTCAGTTCGATTGACTTAAATTCCATCTAAATTTAACATAATAATGATTAAATTTGCATCTAATATCTACAGTTGCTTTCTTCACATTCCAACCTGCAAACTACACTAAGCAATAGTAACCTTCAATGGCTATGTTACCTTTCTTCAACAAGTAAGTGCACATATGCTCATCTGATCATCTCTAGTATGACCTGCATAATTTCAATTCGTCCTTCAACTGTAGCAACATCTTTTTTATGTTAGTTTTCTAAACACGCATAATATCTGCTTCTCGTTCCATTAACATAGAAGAGAAGTTGGTGGTGTGGGCTTTTTTGGTGGTATGGGCACAACACAGCAACCAAACTACATGGCTAGTGGACTGCTGTTTCTAGGGAAGAAAACAAACAACCGTTACCTAGCTAACACAGAAAGGACTACTTGAGTAAACTAGATAAGCAACCATATCCTGCCTAGTTCACTACCTAAGAGATATTGAGCTAGTAAAATGTTGCACGTTTGCTGCCAAACATACGGCTATTCTCTCCTTCCTTGGTCACCAGGATGACACAGGTGCTGGAACCTTTTATGTACCAAGCATACCAATGACCAATGTGGAATCAAGAATGAGTTTATCCAGACTGGGATTCCTCCCTGGACTTGTGAACTGACCCCTGCATTGCACCAAGGTGTGAGTAATTGTCACCTGCAATGGCTTGCAGAAATTGTTTTTTCCTTGGTTCAATGCTCGATTCGATCTGAGGTACATCAGGCAACAACACCATTTTCATGGCAAACAATGCATCATACTCACATCTCTTATAAAATCCTAGCTAGCATTCAAAAGTCGATACCAACTTTTCAGGTTAACTGAACGTATCATAAATGTGCAAACTAGCCCTGAAAAATTTTTCTGCCATACAATAACTTGTAATTATTATTATCATTTTTCAGGTGTGTATGGTGATTGTGGTGGTGCATGGGTTGATGAGGAGTAAGATAAGTGGCTTTCTGTAAGTGCTTCTGCAATAATTGTTTAACTGAAAGCTGAAGAATCTGCTATTCATGCAGTCATACGGTGAATCCGAAGACCGAGTCTGTGAAATTAAGATATGCTGCCGAAAAAGGATGGTTGAATGTTATAGATGACTTAGATCTATCAGCCTTTGTATTTCGTTTAGGTGGAATATATGGGCCAGGAAGAAGGTTTCAGTCTGCTAAAATTTCAATCCATTTTATTTTGTAGTCTTTGAACCAAAAGTTATATTTACTCCAGAACTGCATGACTTGGCTACTGAAATTCTGAATTCCACCAATAAAATCAACCTTTTAAAATTAAAGATTTGGAGCACTTTTTATCTGATTTCAACCAATACGGTGTACAACTTGTGCTACAAACTTGTCAAGTATGTAATGGATGAAAATGAGAACTTTTTCATGGGAGGCTTTTGTTACAGTTCCCAATACTTGCTTTCTAAAAGTGCCACTATTATGACCCTTTGTGTTGATTATTGCAGTGCAGTGGACACAATAGCCAAGAGCAAATCTTTGTCACGAAGACAGAAATCGAGGGAATCCAAACAGTACACTGCACGAATTCATGTGGCTGACATTTGTCAGGCTATCCTGGCTAGCATGAGCATCAGAAGTGCAAGGTTTGTTTGTTTATTTTTTATTTTTTACTTCAGGTCTTCAAAACGGCTGCTACTTTTCCAGTTTTTCTGCCTTCAATCATATTTTCAAACTAGTTTGAATCTTCCTTAGTATTACCTTGTGCAACTCTCACAAGAACAAATTATGAGACTGCACTGCCAAAAGAGACTCACTTTGGCTGTATATCTGTCCACAGCACAGAACCATTTTCATAATCACTTTTCCACAAAATATTCAGGTATCATAAAATTTCTATGTAGTAGCAACCACTGTTTTTATTAGTAAAATACTGTATCTGAGTATAACCACTTTGGGTACAATATTTGGTTGTGGTGTTGTATACCATCAAACCAAGAACTAAAATCAGGTCCTGATACTGATAGTGTTACTCCCTTTGTAATCCCAGTAACCTATTTACGTACTGTACCTTTCTACTGGACCTTTGAAGGTTGATTTTTTTTTGAACTAGGAGAGCATGAGCTCCCCCATTTCCATTAGAAGAAACAACCTTTGAAGGTTGATAACTGATTCCATGTATGTGTGGCAACTTTATTTCTAGGAGGATATACAACGTAGTGGATGACGACCCTGCCCCAAGATCTGAGGTTTTCGCATTTGCTCGGAGCTTGGTTGAGAGGAAGCATCCTGGCCTGATAATGGATTCTGTAGTACTACCAGCTACTCAGGACAGAATCGTAGCTGCTGAGAAGCGGGTCTCTAATGCTCGGCTAAAAGAGGAACTTGGTGTAAAGCTTCTTCACCCAACCTATAAATCAGGCCTGCAGAGTATTTTGGATTCTTGGAGTGTCGAATCTTCTTTTTCAAATAGGAATGTTGACGTTTAGCATGTGTATATAACTATGTGAATTGTTTTGATTTTGTGCTTTGCTGGAACTATGAACCCAAAAAATTATATATTCCATTATGTCCTCTTCCATTCGAGTGACTGGTTCTGGGCATATACTCTATATTATATGCATCTCAAACTTGCTGTGACTTAAATATCCTGGATAAATCTTAGATTTATTTATTTATAGAAGCGATGGTCAAAGATTTATCCACCGATCGTGCAGTCGATGACAATGCCGCCGGCTAGCCTCTCGGTACTCCGGTACGGCACGGCGTCGGGCAGCGTGCTATACATTGAGCTTCCATGAGTTCTTGATATATGGACTGGATTGATAACACAAATGCTATTAGATGTGTAGATTTCAAATTAATCTATCATTTTAGCTTTATCCTAAATCAAACATATCTATTTTTGCCTAGTTTATACTACTTTATAAAGAGTGAATTTCAGAAAACCGAGTTTTGGGATCAATGTAACGCATAACCATAGATTTTATTTATTTTTCACATAATACCATCTCTTCAGTACCATTAACACAAAATCACTGGTTTTAAGAATCTTGAAGACGACACGATCGAGGGCAGAGCTAGCTAGCCTAGCTCGGCAAAGGCAAACCAACTCATCGCCATGCCGGCTTGCTAGGCTCGCTGTAATTCTGCAGCATTTGGTTCGTTTGCTCTCTTTGGTTACGATTAGTGGCCTGTAATTTTTCCGCAAGTAGCATAATAAGACTATATATATACGAGTATTCTTACTAAACAACAGAGATAATGCGCAAAAAGAAATTATCTGAAAAACAAGAGTTATGGTTCATTATTCAAGAAACAATAAAAAAATAAAGTGTTTTATTAATGACTACTAACCCCAGAGTTCGGCCAAGAATATTGAGGAAGAGGAAGGTGAGATATGGGCCAGTTGTTGGTAGGTTTAGGAGAAAATCACTTCGCGTGTATCATTAATTTTTTTTATGGAAGCGAGCCGATTTGGCTCTCCCTGGTGAGCCAGCCTTTTCTCACCCCTTTGGGCTAGTTCGCTCCTTGGAGCTAGGATTTTTTTGGCGATACCAAAACGATTAGCCTTACCAGGCCAAGCTAGGATCCCTCTATGTCAGCTAGACCCACTTGTTAGGTTGAAGCGCGGCCTATTAGGGCCGGGACATTTAACTCCATGCCACTTTTAAGATGTGGCAATTAATTATTTGCCACTCGCTGTCTATAACATGTGGGCCCTCATGTGTCTATGACATATGGGTCCAGTGGCAAATAATTTAGCACCACTCGTAAGAGTGGTAAATAGTTAATTATTCCATTAGGGCCTCGCGTGGACAATCGCTTGTTGACCGTGCAATAAGCGGGGGCGCCTAGCAGGCGCGTACGCGCTGCTAGCCCTCACTTTCCTGACCACCTAATTATCTATATTAGTTAACACTTAACACTAATGATAGTAATTAGAAAATATTTTTAAGATTTTTTTACTAACAGATTGAAAATTTTTTAGTTAGATTTAAAAACTTTCAATTTAAGATTTAAATTTTAAAGTCAAATTTTGAAAACATTCAACTCAGATTTGAAAACTTTCAACTCGAGATTCGAAAACTTTCAAGTCCAGATTTGAAATTTTTGAAAACTTTCAACTTGAGATTTGAAAACTTTCATCTCAGATTCAAAAACTTTCAACTTGAGATTTAATAACTTTCAACTCGAGATTTGAAAACTTTCAAGTCCAGATTTGAAAATTTTGAAAACTTTCAACTTGAGATTTGAAAATTTTCAACTCGAGATTCGAAAACTTTCAAGTCTAGATTTGAAAATTTTGAAAACTTTCAACTTGAGATTTGAAAGCTTTCAACTCGAGATTTGAAAATTTTTAAGTCATGATTTAAAACTTGCTAGTTGGCACGAAAAAAAATCAGAGAAGGAGAAAAAAAATCGCAAAAAAGGGAAAGACACGCGGAAAAAAAAAAGGAAAAAACAAAGGAGGGGACGGACGTGGTAGGGGCCGCGCGCGTGGGCCGTGGGCCGGCGTGCGAATTAGCTCCGCCTGCAATAAGCAACTCCTACCGCCATCTTCCTCGCTCGGAAGTCGCGGGGTTCGCATTCCCCTAGTCTTCTTGCAAGTTGAAGGACGAAACCCCATGGCGCCCCGATGACCAGAGGAGCGGCTCGTCGTGCACAGGCAGGTGCATTGACATCATCTTCACTATCTTTATCGTTCACTAATGCCATGTATAGTCGCCTCTTTAATTAATTATTTTCCTTGATTTAATAATAAAATTTGGAAATTATAACTGTATATATAGGAGGCAATGAGGCATATGACGTTCTTTTATTTTGAACCGGTCTTGCTTATTAGACGCTGATGAATGGTAATCCATCTAGTCACGTGTAATAGCTGTTTTAGCCCTTTTTTTTTAAAAAAAAGCCAATAAAATAGAACAATTTACACGTGTTCGAGGAAACAATAAGGTGAACACGTGAATTTGATATAGCGCTTGTTTGTCCTTCCTTTTGGACTAACAAGGGGCTAAATCCTTCGAAATGCAATAAACAAGATACGTGTCAGATTAGATATCTCTGGCCTCTAAAGAAAGAAATCGCTGAGTCAAGGCTATGTTTTGGTCTCGTATAGTCATATTCAAAATATAAAGGCAAATACTGAGGATCTACACTGTTTTCATATATAGTTCCCAAGATGGTTATTTTAATAAACTCTCGATCTGTCATAGTTTATGTTTTCTCCTAACTCGTCCAAATCATAGGCATTAGCACGAAATATTCGTCTTAATTAACTTGTTCCCCGGTGAAATACACGAAAAATTCCTTTTGACTTCAGACCATCTCAAAAAAGCAAAGCCACAAGGCTCTCGCGTCATGCCAACACCGCCGACAATTTCATCATTTAGTAATGCCGAAGCGATTTTGTATATATGAATGAATCGACTGAGATCCATATTCATAAAGGATTTCAACGAAATCAACTGATTTTCCGCATAATTTTGTGGTAGCAATTCTGAATAATGGTTTTTCCGCTTGTTAACCATGTGTTAGCACCTAGAATAAGAATATAAAAATGTGATTAAATTTGAAAATGACTCGGCTTGCCATGCGAGGCCGGTTTGACAGTACTCATAGGGTCGGTCAAACCGACAGCAGGTGATCGGTCTGACCAACGGCATGTGGCCGGTTAGAACGGCAGAGTCCGACTCCAAATCCAATTAATCTCTCTTGGGGTTTCTTGCTTGGACTTAAGATTTTAGAGTCCTAGCTAATTGATCTCTACGTTTAATTGAAGTGGAAAAGACCCTGGGAAGCAAGTATATCAAGTATATCACTCTTATAAGTATTGAGAGCCAAGATCAATTGAAACAACAATCAATCGATCATCAAAATCAATTTATTACCTAAACCCTCTATATTCTGCATCTTCCTACTTCTTGCTACCTATTCTAAAGTATATTTTCCTCCGGTCCTTCAATTGTTCTCATCTCTATAGCATTAGAGGGCATCCTAACTGGCCTACTAAGTTTAGAACAAACCAACGTGCGTACATTCTGACGCTGTCTTTCCTGGGTGTTTGTTTGGCAGCATCTACCTTCTCCTACGGTGGCGCGTCTCCGTGTGCCATTGTGAGTTGCACATAACGTGCTCAAGTGTGATGGTGCGATTTGGCATAATACCATCTTCGGCCAAGCATACCGGTGACTTTTTTCACTAGTAATTTAGGAATTACGAGTGTATTTCAAATACATGTGAAAAAATATTCTGAGTTCCCTATAAGGCACTTATAGGTTGGAGTACTTTCCCGACCATTTTCATCCTGAGATAGGCACATGTATGCGCACAGCTCATTAATTAGTTAAATCAGAATTGCATTCCACTATTGCAAAAAAACAAAAGACAGCGGAAGAATCATCATCCTTATTATTTTGTACATAGCAAAATTTATTCAAATTCAGTCAAATTTCTGAAATATTGAATCCCGCATAGGCAAAGTCTATTGGAGTTCAGATTTTAGAGGTGATCATGCCTGCCCGCTTCGCCGAGCTACCACTCGCTGGCCGGAGACCAAGATACTCCGCCGTCACCGGCTTGAAGATGCGCCCCAGCCGCTCGTCGGACTCGAGCGCCGCCGCCAGCCTCGGCCACAGCAGCGCGCTCGCGATCCACGACCCGTCGCCGCCGCCAGGCCGCGCGGCGATCTGCACGAACCCCGTGCACAGCCTCGCGCTGGAGGACGACGTGGGCAGCGCCATCGCGGCGTGGCCGTGGCCGAAGTCGGTGTCCACCTCGAACGACGCGAACGCCGTCACGCTCACCGCCGGGCTGCCCAGCCCGACGCTCGCCGTGTCGATGTACCGCTGCTTCCCGGCCTTGTGCTCCTCGACCCAGTCCACGAGCTCCTGGAAGTGCTCGCCGTACGCCGGCGCGGCGATCGCGTCGCGCGCCATGGACGCCACCTCCGCCAGGGGCTTCCGCTGGATCTCCTCCATGGTGGCCTCCGCGACCGCGAAGGTCGTGACGTTGCCCACGTAGCTGCGCATCGCGGCGCGGAGCTCCGGCGAGGAGGAGAGAGTGAGACGCCGGCGGCCGTCCACCCACCACACCATGCGGCAGCGCGCGTCGCGCGAGCCCACCACCGCGGCGAGGGCCTTCCACAGGTACGCGGACACTGCCTGTACCCGCGTCGCCCGCGCCTGCTCGCGTAGCCGGGCGATGTCCGCCGCCTCGATGTAGTACAGGCGAGCTCTCGTCGCTCGTCAGGACGTTGACCTGGCGCGCGCCGTCGAGCGGCGTGAACGCCTCGTCGAGCGACGCGCCGTACGACGGCGGGGAGCGCGGCCGGAACACGGAGCGGTCGTGGTTCGGCCGTGCTCCGGCGGCGAGCGTTCCCGACCGCGCGAGCTCCGACCACGCGCTGACGAGCATGCTCAGGGCGCTCCCGTCCACGACGACATGGTTGGTGCCCCACGCCACGGTGAAGCCGCCGCAGGCGAACGACACCACCTGCACCGACAGCGCCACGTCGCCGGCGTACGGCAACAGGATCTTCCCGACCGACGCGCCCACCGTACCGTAGTCCAGGCTAGCGAGGGCCACGTCGGCCTCGCCGACGACGAGCTCCGCGCCTTGGTTGTGGCAGTGGATCTCGGGGAGGCCGGAGCAAGGGTTGGAGACGATGCGGCCGGCGAGCGGGAAGAAGTGGTTGAGCAACGACGGCAAGCCGGCGGCGAACGCCGCGACGACGTCGTGGAAATCGCCGCCGGTGGAAGGCTTGGGGTAGATGCAGAACATGGAGACCTGGATGGTCCGCGGGATGAGGTCGAGGTTGGAGACGGCGAGGACGTGAGGCCGGATGGACTCGTCGGAGGCCTTCACGAGTCGCCGGTGAACAACACGGACGTGCAGCTCGCCGCCATTGATGCAGCTGGCCATTCTTGTTGATGTGTGTCTTCCTAATGGCTTGCTAGCTACTGAAACTAGCTATAGGGCATGCAGTGCTTTGTAAGCTGGTCGAGTGAATAATGTATAGCTCGCTGATTGTCGAATGATGGTGTACAGTATATTTATTGGCGTGTGACCTTTGTGAAGTCAAAAGAATCTTGTGTGTTTCACGACGTTTAAGGTCGTGTTCTAAATTAAGATTAAGAGAAAGTTTAATAGTATACCTAACTACTAGCTCCAAATCATCTATAGCCAAATTAATAGCCAATTCGTACAATAGGTACTTACTACACTATTAATATTTGATCACACATATCATACACGCATTGTATCTTAGAGTCCGTACTGCAGCTGGCTACAGATCTGTAGCTCGCTACTCTTCTCTCCCATCTTTTATCTCTTTAAAATATGTTTATAGTTGGCTTATATTCTGTTATTGTACCTGCTCTAAACTGGGTTTGAGCTGGACTAATCTCTGGTTTAACGCGACCACGTTTCCCAACCTGGGTTTGTGTGTTTCGTGCTAAAACTTTATATAGAGAAGTTTCTCTAAAAATATCAAATTAATCCAATTTTCGAAGTGTACAATGGATAATAATTAATTAATCATATACTAATGGTTTACATCGTTTTTCATGCACTAACTAGCTAGTAATACTAAAAGCGCGTACAACAACATAATGTAAGAGGGTTATACAAGTTGTCACATCACATTTTTCTACCAGTTGTACGGGAAAACATAGGAATTTTTCTATCCATTCAAACCACTCGGAAAAAATCAATTAATATGTGCAACCATTACTATTCCTCTACCTTTTCTTTTCCTGTGAATTCAAACTCGTCCAAACCGAATAAGCCCTAAAATTTCCTTCATTCGAAGGAGACATCAGACTACGTACGCACATGGATCTGCAAATAGCTGAAATGTCGCAGGTGCCAATCGCAGATGATCCACAGTTTTAGTCTAGTAGTGGTTTTCATGAGAACCAAGCATAGTATTGACCTGTGGAATGTTTTCCTTTGGATGCTTGGAATCAAATTATGAAATTAGTGTACGTGTTGAGTGTTCGTTCAAGAAGTCTGAGATCATGCTCATTTGGTTTAAGGAATAATGATTAACCAACAACTTAATTAATTTATCGGACTTTGTTTGATTTTAGAATTGATCCATCTATGCATCCTCGTATCATCGCAACGTACGTCAGTGCTTGTTTGGAGTCACGTACACACTAGGTCTTGTTTCAAAACTCAACTTCACTAGCTAGTCCCTCTGTTTTTTTTTTTGGAGACATACTATAAAATCAAAAAGTCAAAGTTTGTACCCATTATTAATTAGTATAAATCATAAGCATATTTGGCAGGTAAAAACTATACAACCAGATTAGTAAAACAAATTATATGCGTGACTTCATATTGAGTCGATCTGTATATATATAGCTGGGCCAAGAAAATTTAGGTTATTGCTAGAGTTTAGTCACCCGAAGTTTTTACAATTTCAATCAAATTCCTCCTCACCAGTGAGCAGGTCTTGTCCTACAAGAAAAAAACATATATCTCTACTATTGAAGATGTTTTTGCCGGTATTTTGGTACGTCATCCGTGTATGAATCGGTTTTTAAATTCGTTCGTTTTTGAAAATACATGTCTGTATGTGAGTCGGCTTTTAAGTTTGTTCGCTTTCGCAAATACAAAAGGAGTCATATAAGAAATATCCTTAAAAGAACTTGCATGCTAACTTGAGATGATCAGACTCCTAACCGCACCTCATGATTTTTAAAAAGAAAATATATCCAAGCAAATTACCATAATGAATTTCACCTTAACTGAAGAATATAACAGTAATAAGATTAAAATAGTCTTCACCCGTTGCAACGCACGGGTATTTTTTCTAGTATCGTAGAAACATAAAAATTACCATAGAATACAAAAATGGATCTATGAAATTTGTTCACGTTACTATGAGTAAAACTTTTACTCTCCATTTTTACATCTTGTGGTAATTCCAGGTTTCACTAGATATGTTGTTTACACTATATATTTTCCCCTCCTACGATGAGCACGTCTTCTCCAGCGACAACCTGAAGACAGCGCCAGCATGGACCAGTGAGGGCGGTGAGGCAATAGATGGGAGAGAGGGTGAGGTGGCTACCATGGCTTACCAGCAATGACGACATCAAGTTCCTCAACGATCCCTTCATCTTTCCCAACATCGGTGTCTAGCAACATCAAAATAATTCTAGAATAAGGATTTCGGGGGTCAGGAGGTGGAGCGGGATAGGGGACGGTGAGGACTGCTTTAGACGGAAGGGCGCACGGGGAGGTGGTCGGCGGCAGATGGCGGCTATACTGCTAGAGCCAAGGTGTTGGGAGGAAGGTGGTAGATGGGGTCAGCCGCGGCAGCGTTAAATCTGCAGTGGATAGGAGGTAGTGGGAGCAATGGTGTGGAAAGACATTTGGAGAAGGGGAGACACCTCGCTGCCACCTGGCTTGGGGATTAGAGCAAGTATAATAGTGAGCTATAAGACTACTATAAGCTTATGTGGAGGAGAGAGGTAAGAGCAAGGCTAATAGTATAGCCAGTTGCTGACTAATAGCCCATTGCTAAAGCTAGCTACTAGTACAATAGATTGTCTGTTGGCTGGCTACACCTCATAATCAAATAGTAAATTATATCATGCACATATCAATGTGTGTATCAATGTGTGTGATCAAGAGTGAATTGCATCTTTGTAACCAGTTGTGCCAATAGCATATTCACATACCATATCAACCAAAATCTCTATAGTACAAAAATTACAAGACAATATTACTACATAACAATAACTCAAATACCATAGATTAATCGATAATATCATACCAGTCCGAACACAAGTCTTAACAAAAGGACATGGTAACGAAAGATATCTGTAGTTCCAAAGAACTGACAAGGTAATAGAGGATAAAGCAAAATAAACATAACGGTTTACAGATCCAAAAGTCACATCAACAATAGGGCATTAAGCAAAAGTACATATAAATATGCTGTCCAACAAGTGAGAATGATTTATTCATCGAAGATAGACTGATTTCTTCATCGAAGATAGACCCTTGATAGCAGGATCATTGCATCATATTACCATTGCCTGAGCTATGATCAACCTAATGGGAGAAGAAAAACACATATAACATCCCGAGTAGTTTGTCACTTGATGAATAAATGAAACAATGAAATCTCTTTTCAGTGAAACCTCACTAAAAGGAGTAATCAGTACATGTATTTTTCTGCAGTTGGTATATCTTACAAAGAAATAGTTGCACTGCCATAAAAATTGAGAATTTTATTGACCATTTCGTAACAGTGTGCAGTATGCCCAGATGCATAACAAATAAATTAAAAGTGAGTTTAGCAGGTAAAAGCAATAACAAAACACCATGCTACTGCATCATAAGAAAGAAAAGAGAAATAGTAAACTGTGGCTATTAGTAGTCTGAACTAGGAGTACATTTAGTTCAAGTAAATCATCACAAGGAAGAAAAGAGAATCATTAGAATGTGTCTGTAAGTAATCTGGCCTAGTACTAAATTTAGTTCATATAAGCTACCTTTGAGAAGTGCAGCACCATGATTTGGACATACTGAGCAGAGCATGTTCCTGAAATAAATTAGACACAAGGGTTAATTGATATAATCTACACACGGCAAATAGACACATGTTCCGCGAAGGTCGTGACGTTGCCCACGTAGCTGCGCATCGCGGCGCGGAGCTCCGGCGAGGAGGAGAGAGTGAGACGCCGGCGGCCGTCCACCCACCACACCATGCGGCAGCGCGCGTCGCGCGAGCCCACCACCGCGGCGAGGGCCTTCCACAGGTACGCGGACACCGCCTGTACCCGCGTCGCCCGCGCCTGCTCGCGTAGCCGGGCGATGTCCGCCGCCTCGATGTAGTACAGGCGCACGCCGACGAAGCTCTCGTCGCTCGTCAGGACGTTGATCTGGCGCTCGCCGTCGCCGTCCAGCGGCGTGAACGCCTCGTCGAGCGACGCGTCGTACGACGGCGTGGCGCGCGGCCGGAACACGGAGCGGTCGTGGTTGGGCCGTGCTCCGGCGGCGAGCGTTCCCGACCGCGCGAGCTCGGACCACGAGCCGACGAGCATGCTCAGGGCTCTCCCGTCCACGACGACATGGTTGGTGCCCCACGCCACGGTGAAGCCGCCGCAGGCGAACGACACCACCTGTGTTAGCTAGAACACTCTGAACACACGCGAGATTGTGGCTATCCTAGCTTGTCTGAGTAGTTCAGAACGATGAACAGTATCTGACGAAAATACGACAACATAGAAAAACAGAGCAAAAACAGAGTTTTGGTGCTGAAAAACCTCGCAGCTTTTCTGGGGTTTTTCTTCCTTTTATTCACCTCCACAAAAGAGTCTGTTACATGCGCGATCTTGCCGGATCAACGACTGACCGTGCCATCCCACGATCCGATCCCTGCTCGATCTCTTCTACTACCGAAAAAACGGAAAAACGATAACTAACACTAACCGAGTTTGCTAATCTTCAGCCAGCGCATGCAACCAGGAATCCAATGCTATTACAAAATGCAATGGCTAAGTTAAAAAAATGCAACTGAAAAAACTAGCTTTCGCACACAAGATTATTTGGATAAAGCTATCAATTTCCCCCCTAATCTTGATGTGCCTGCTCCAAACCCATCTTCTTCCGGAGTTCAAGAAACCGAACTCGTCCAACAGGCTTAGTCAGTATATCTGCAAGCTGATCTTCTGTTCGCACATACTCCACAGCGATTTGCTTCTTCTCCACACACTCCCTGATAAAATGAAATCGAGTGTCAATGTGCTTACTTCGATCATGGAGTACCGGATTCTTGCAGAGATTGATTGCTGATTTGTTATCAACTTTCATCACAGTTTGGCCAGGGTCCTCTCCAAGTAATTCTGCCAATAGCCTATTGAGCCAAATCCCTTGACAAGCACCAGTAGTAGCAGCAATATACTCAGCTTCACATGACGACAAAGCTACCACCTTTTGTTTCTGAGATTGCCAGCTGATCAAACTGTCTCCCAGCATATACAGTACACCTGTGGTGCTCTTCCTATCATCCAAATCCCCAGCCATATCACTGTCACTGAACCCAATCAATCTGAGTTCACCCTTTTCCCTTCTCCCAAACCAGCAGCCAACATCAAGAGTACCTGCAATGTATCTCAGAATATGCTTCACTGCTGCCCAATGTTCAGAAGTTGGTTTCTCCATAAATCTGCTCACATACCCGACAGAGTAAGCAAGATCTGGCCTTGTGTTCACCAAATACCTGAGACTTCCCACAGTGCTTCTATACATGGTTGAATCAACTCCTTCCCCTCCACTCTCCCTCTTCAGTTTCAACCTAGCTTCCATGGGAACTTGAGTAGAATTGCAGCCTTCCATTCCTGTCTTTTCTAGGATTTTTGCTGCATAAGCAGTTTGTGACAGAAACACTCCATCATCCTTTTGGACAACCTCCATTCCCAGATAGTAACTCAGCAGACCTAAGTCACTCATGCGAAATTTCTTCTTCATCTCCTCCTTGAAAAAAATCAATTTCACTTGCTTGAGCCCCACTGATAATCAGATCATCCACATACACTCCCACTATCAACCTTGAGCTTCCTGTTCCTCTCACATACACTGCACTCTCAGTTTCAGACTTGATGAAATTCAGAGAAATCAAAGTGTTGTGCAGTTTTGCATTCCATGCTCGGGGAGCCTGCTTTAGCCCATACAAAGCTTTCTTGAGCCTCAACACCTGGCCTTCTTTTCCTTTCTCAATAAAACCAGGTGGCTGCACAACATAAACTTCCTCTTCCAAATCACCATTCAGGAAAGCAGACTTCACATCCATGTGATGAATCTCCCATCCTTTGTTTGCAGCTACTGCAATCAGGAGCCTCACAGTTTCCATTCTAGCCACTGGGGCAAACACTTCCTCAAAATCAATTCCTTGTTGTTGCACATATCCCTTTGCTACCAACCTTGCTTTGTGTTTCACCACAACTCCTGATGGATCCTTTTTCACCTTATAGACCCACTTTAACCCAATTGCTTTATGTCCAACAGGGAGCTCAGCAAAGCTCCAAGTCTGATTGTCTTCAATGGACTTTAGCTCCTCTTGCATTGCCTGCCTCCAACACAACTGTTGTTCAGCTTCTGCAAGACTCATTGGTTCCTCACTTGCCAGCAAGCATTGGTCGCTATAATCAAAATCAAGGACAGGTTCAGTAGCAGATAGGATATCCTGCACTCGGCGATACCTGATAGGGCCTTCATTTGTCCCTGGCGTGACAGAGTTTGGTGGTGAGCAAAACTCCACCCCCGCCGGCACTTCCGGTGGTGAGGGCGGAGTGGCCGTCGACGCCGGGTACGTGCCTCCCTGCACAGGCGTGCTAGCCTGTTCGCCCAAGTCGGCAACAACAGAGTCCACGGGATTCACAAAGAAATCCACCGTGAATTCCTCCTCTTCAGTCGCCTCTGTCTCAGGATCACGCCACGCCCATGTCGCCGCCTCGTCGAAGACGACATCACGCGACACGCAAACGCGCCGCACCACAGGGTCATACATGCGATACGCCTTCGACCCCTGTTCATAGCCAATAAACACCATCCTCGTACCTCGATCGTCGAGCTTGCGCAGGTTCGGCTTCACCGTCTTGACGTAGCCTACACAGCCAAACACCCTCAAGTGTTCGACCGAGGGACGTCGCCCATGCCACGCCTCATGGGGGGTCACGCCATTCAATGCCTTCGTCGGCGACCGGTTCAGCACATACACCGCCGCCACAACCGCCTCCCCCCAGAAGCACGCCGGCATCCCAGCCGCCTTAAGCATGGAGCGCGCCGCCGCAACCACGGTCTGATTCCGCCGCTCCACGACTCCGTTCTGCTGAGGGGAGTAAGGAGCAGTGAGCTCTCGCCTCATCCCATGATCGGCGCAGTAGTCCATGAACTCCACGGAGGTAAATTCCCCCCCACGATCTGTCCTCAGAGCCCGCAGCTTTCGCCCGGACTCCAGCTCAACGCCGACTTGGAACTGCTTGATCGCCGTCGCCGCTTCATGCTTGCCGGAGAGGAGCCGTATCCACATATGCCGGCTCATATCGTCGACGAGGAGCAGGAAATACTTCCTGCCGCCTGGGGTCGCAGGCGTGATCGGCCCACACAAGTCGCCGTGCACCAGTTCGAGCGCCTCCTGTGCTCTAAACTTGGCCTCCTCCGGGAACGGGAGTCGTCGTTGCTTGCCCGCGAGACAACCGTCGCACAGTTGATCAGTGTGATCAATGATCGGAAGCCCGCGGACCATGTTCCCCTGGGCCAGCCTCCGGAGCGACTGGAAGTTCAAGTGTCCGAAACGCGCATGCCACCGCCATGCCGTGTCGCCACCGCTCGCCGCCATGCAGACTGGATTTGCAATATGCAGCTTGAGTATATAGAGATAATTTATGTCTCGTTTTACCTTTGCGAGGAGAAGACCATCGGGATCACGGAGTGTGCAGACCCCGCCCCAGATATGTGCGTCGTAGCCGCGCGCGTCGAGACGGCCGACACTGATGATGTTCTTGCGCAGCTTCGGGATGTAGTACACCGTGTCGAGAGACCGATGATCACCATTCTTGCATCGGAACACCACGGTCCCGCGCCCCTGGATTTCAATCACAGAGCCGTCGCCAAACTTCACCGTCCCAACAACGCCGGTGTCGAGCTCGGCGAACGCCGAACGCACTCCAGTCATGTGGTTGGTGGCGCCGGTATCCAGAAACCAATCTCTTGTCACCTCCTCCTCACCACCATCCTCGTGGTCCAGGATCACCTTCTTCTCCGTGAGGTGTACCTCCTGTCCACCAGGTGTTCGTCCGAGTGTCGCCTCGCCAGCAAGTGACACCCCTACGACATGTGCCATAAGCAACGTCGGTTCTTCCTCGGCGGCTTGCACCAGGTTCGCCTCTCCCCGGCGTTGGCGTCGTGGCTTGCGGCACTGCCTTGCATAGTGACCAAATTCATCACAATTGAAGCACTTTACCCTCGAGATGTCGCGGCTGCTGTTCGCACCAGTGGCCGCCTCTTTGCCCTTTGGCGACCCACCGGGCTTGCCTCGGTGATTCTGCGTGCCGGGCGCGCCGCGGCCCTTATTGCCGCTGTTGCCGGAGCCCTCCTGCTCCCGCTGCTTCACACGTGCCTGCCATTGTTCCTCCGTGAGGTACAATTTTCCGCCATCGCTTCCCTCCTCATCATCGCTGTAAGAATCCACTGTTGACAGCCGCCCAACTAGCTCCTCCAGCGCCATGGTCTTCACATCGAGCAGCTGCTCGAGAGAGATAGCCACCGGCTTATACTTCTTGGGAACAACGCGCAGCAGCTTCTTGTTGACGTGTTCATCTTCCATGACTCCACCCATGTCGCGAATGTCCGCGACGACGGCAGTGAGCCGCATCGCAAACTCCTCCGGCGTCTCCCTCTCCTTGAATCGCATCGACTCAAATTGACGACGGAAGCCCTGCTCCTTCGCCTCACGCACACGGTCAACGCCGACCCGCATGGTCTTGATGGCGTCCCACGCCGCCTTCGCCGTGTCATGCTTTGCCAGCCCGCGCAACATCTCACGCGGCACCGCCTGAAGGATTGCCGAGAGAGCCGCCCAATCTTCACGAAACTCCGCGTAGCCGGGATCGATCGCCGTCCACAGCCCCTGCGCCTGCAGGTTGACGCGCATCAGGAGCGCCCAATCCGGGTAGTTTGTCCTCGAGAGGACTGGGAGGCGAGCGGTGTGCGATGCGTCTCTCCCCTGAGACACGAGCGGAAGTAATGCGCCGTCTGCTCCATTCCCCCCGCCGCTGCCGCTTGCGCCGCCGCGGCCGTTGCCGCTCCCCCCGCCGCCACCGCCACCACGACGGCCAGGCGGTGTGTATGACATCGCCGGATCGTTCCAGTACTGCTCTGATACCAATTGTTAGCTAGAACACTCTGAACACACGCGAGATTGTGGCTATCCTAGCTTGTCTGAGTAGTTCAGAACGATGAACAGTATCTGACGAAAATACGACAACATAGAAAAACAGAGCAAAAACAGAGTTTTGGTGCTGAAAAACCTCGCAGCTTTTCTGGGGTTTTTCTTCCTTTTATTCACCTCCACAAAAGAGTCTGTTACATGCGCGATCTTGCTGGATCAACGACTGACCGTGCCATCCCACGATCCGATCCCTGCTCGATCTCTTCTACTACCGAAAAAACGGAAAAACGATAACTAACACTAACCGAGTTTGCTAATCTTCAGCCAGCGCATGCAACCAGGAATCCAATGCTATTACAAAATGCAATGGCTAAGTTAAAAAAATGCAACTGAAAAAACTAGCTTTCGCACACAAGATTATTTGGATAAAGCTATCAACCTGCACCGACAGCGCCACGTCGCCGGCGTACGGCAGCAGGATCTTCTGGATCGACTCCCCGACCCTACCGTAGTCCAGGCTAGCGAGAGCCACGTCGGCCTCGCCGACGACGAGCTCCGCGCCTTGGTTGTAGCAGTGGATCTCGGGGAGGCCGGAGCAAGGGTTGACGGCGATGCGGTCGGCGAGCGGGAAGAAGTGGTTGAGCAACGACGGCAAGCCGGCGGCGAACGCCGCGACGACGTCGTGGAAGCCGCCGGCGGAGGTGGGTGGGTTGGGGTAGATGCAGATCATGGAGACCTGGATGGACTGCGGGAGGAGGTCGAGGTTGGAGACGGCGAGGACGTGCGGCCGGAGGGACTCGTCGGAGGCCTGCACGAGTCGCCGGCTCACGACCCGAACTTGCAGCTCGCCGCCATTGATGCAGGTGGCCATTGTTGCTTTGCATAAGCTTGCAGCCACTATGAGTCTATGAGACTATGACCAACTCTGCAGTTGCACCGTCTTCATATATAGGCAGTGTGGGGAGCCAGGATCTGAGGACGAAATGGGGCCTTCTATATAATCGAAGCGCACTTTAATTTTACTAGGTATTTTCCCTACATAATTTTGTGTAATTTTATGTAGGATAGCTGATAGAAACGTCTAGGGGTTTTCCAGCTAACTTCACAATGTGGTGGACTAGCCGGCCTGAGTTCAAAGCCATACCTTTTCTATTAATTTAATATTAGGTCATTCCCTAACATCCGTGTTTTGGTATATGGAGTACCTCTTAGATCCTACTAATAGAAAGACTCGAATGCTCCGAATCTGCCGCACCCTCCCCTGCATAATGCCTCCCTGTCCTGCCGATGTTTCCTCCTAAGAGCAACGATAATAGTATAGCTCACCTCCTACTATTAGCTCATCTTAAAGCCAACATATATAATGAGATTAGCTATAAGGTTGGCTACAATTTTCTTCTTCTCTCTCTATCTCTCACTTATACATTTAATGTATTTGTCTTGGAGATTGTGTTAAGCTAGCTCTTGCATGAGAGCCAACCCTCTTAATTTTTTGTTAGAGCAGGTACAATAAGCTGACTAGGCAGGCTCCAAAAATATGCCATATCATCATATTCCTATGTGGAGGGGAGAGAAATGATGAGAGAGAAGCGAGCGAGCGACAAATCTATCGCCCGGCGATAGCTCTCTTTCCCACGCGTTATCGCTTGCTTGCAGCCTACCTGGGCGATAAAAAACGCGATTTGTGGACCCACTCACCGCAGCCGATCCCTTCCCCACCGTAGCTGATCGAGATCCCCTTTCCCCTCCACCCAGCGCCCGCCCGATCTCCGCCCTTCCCACACGATCCCGGGCGATTGCGCTCGATCTCCCGCGCGATCCCGGGTGATGGCGCTCGATCTCCCGTGCCGCACGCCATCTCTTTCCCTCCCACGCGCGCCATCTCTTCCCCTCTCGCGCGTGAAGAGCTCTTCCCCTCCCGACACAAATCCACTGAAAAAAAAAAATCCCCATCTACTATTTTGCCGGCCTCAAAAATCCGGTAAGATTTACTGTCTCCGCCTCCCACTATCCGCCTTCCCTCTTCCCCCTCGCTAATCTCTCCCGCCCGCACGCAACATATTTTTACCGAAAACCCTAGTTCCTCTCCACCAATAGCCATGTCTCGCCGGAGGAAGAGGGAGGTTGCGCCAATCCTCCCGGTGTTCCTACCCCGTCGGCAGTGCCATATCCTTATGGAGGTCCTTGGTTCGCCACCCCACCGCCAGCTTGGTTTGCTTCTCCACCATCGCAAGCCATGCCGAGTTCATCTGTATGTCCTCTCCCTATGGCTGCCAAGACCAACATCGAGTTGCAACACGATTTTGAAGAATGGTAAGTTAGTTGCGAATTTGTCATAGTTCTGTCTAATATTTCAGATTTTATATGCCTGTTACTATTGTGTTCGTGCGTTAAATGAATTTGAAAAGATATTTTTGCGATCTATGTTAAGGACCATGTTAAAGTTTTACAATTTTTTTTCATGAATGTTAGTATACGTGATATCGATTAAAATACAAATTTGTCATAGTTCTGTCTAATATTTCAGATTTTATATGCCTGTTACTATTGTGTTCGTGCGTTAAATGAATTTGAAAAGATATTTTTGCGATCTATGTTAAGGACCATGTTAAAATTTTACAATTTTTTTTCATGAATTTTAGTATACGTGATATCGATTAAAATGAGAATCAGATGACATTGGCTGTAGTAGCACTTTTTTTACATAAAACATAGCATGTGAGTTTTATTACTTAATCTGCATTACTAAAAAATGCCTATACCATATCCTGAGCTGGGATCTTTATCTAAAATTATTTTTAGTCCCTTGCTGTAAATCAATCTCTCCCCACAGTAAACAAAGACCAAGTACATCTCTCCCCAGTAAAAGAGAAAAACAGTCCCGTCACGGCATATCATCTTGATCTACTAGAACCGATCTGGTTTAACGCATGCGGATCCTAATGATGTTAAAGAGAAAATATATTTTGTAAGGAGATATTTATGGCAAGAAGATCAAGGGATCAGAAAATATCACCATGTACAATGGCCAATAGTGTGCTCTCCAAAAGAGCAAACAATGAACCATATTAATATTAATGTGTATGATTTTAAATATAAAAGATGAAGCACGAAATTTCTGTGCTAATTATACACTAAAAATGATATCAATACCTTGTTTTTGTGCTAATTATAAGTTTCAGTAGCTTGTTTTTAGGATATCAGTACCTTAGCTTGTTTTAGTTACAATTGCAGCAGTGGTGGATCCAACATAAACAATTTAGTTATGGTGAAACTATAATGTTCTTGCTTTCTATACAGGGGAGTGGAATCTCGTCCTCCTGGTGGGTTCGTTAATCTTATCAATGCCCCATCAAACCATATGCATCATGTCGCCGAAGGGAGTCCATCACAGCCTATCAATGTTGAGAATGGAGATATCTCTAGGACTAAGAAACGCTTATTATGGACGAACGATGAAGACTTGAGATTGGTAAGTGGCCTGTGTGAGTTATTTATTTGTCAATGTGATGTACATCACTCACATTACTAACACCAGTAAACATCTTTTTCCTAAAAATTGCAGATCAGCGCCTGGCTGAACAACTCAAATGATTCTATAGAATCAAATTTCAAGAAGAATGATAAATATTGGGGCGATGTTGCTGCAGCTTACAACAGCACTACCCCAAAAAGCCGGGTTAGGCAAGTTAAGCAAGTTAAGGATCGTTTTGGTAAAATTAAGAAGAAGGTTGGGAATTTTTGTTGCTCTTGGAAGGAGGCTAATTCATTATATGCTAGTGGGGAGTCTCATGATGATCTGATGGCTAAGGCAGTGAAAATGTATGAGAATGATTTCAAGGATGGTCCATTCTTGTTTATGCCAATTCACCCGTGGTGACTACAAAGTCCCAACAATTATCCTTGAAGCAGTTGCTTCACATGACCTTTGGATTTAGCATGCTTTCTTTGGTGTCGCTGGTTCTAACAACGACATCAACGTGCCGAATCAGTCCCCTCTATTCCTTGAACAAGTTAGAGGGGAGGCTCCTCGGGTTCATTTTTCTGTTAACGGGAATGAGTATAACAATGGGTATTACCTTGCTGATGGTATATACCCATATTGGGCTAGCTTCATAAAATCTATATCACTTCCACAAACAGAGAAGCATAAATTGTTTGCTAAACGTCAAGAAGGGGCAAGGAAAGATGTGGAGCGGGCTTTTGGAGTGTTGCAAGCCCGTTTCAACATTGTGCGCCGTCCAGCGAAGAAGTGGAAACGGAAGAGTGTTGGGAAAATCATGTTAGCTTGTGTGATTCTCCACAATATGATTGTTGAAGATGAGAGAGAGGATGCGATATGTGACATTGACCTCAATAGAATTCCTAGGACATCAATAGTCCTACCTCCTGAAGTAACTTCTGGTGATAATCCATGTTTTACTGATGTGCTACGTAGAAAATCTACTATTCGTGCTCGTTCTGTGCATACCCAACTGAAAACTGATTTAATTGAGCATATTTGGCATCAGTTTAGACATAGGCAACATGCATAAACATGGTAGGGTAATAAGCATGTGGTTTCTTTGCCTTTTATTTGCCGTGTGTAGATTATATCAATTAACCCTTGTGTCTAATTTATTTCAGGAACATGCTCTGCTCAGTATGTCCAAATCATGGTGCTGCACTTCTCAAAGGTAGCTTATATGAACTAAATTTAGTACTAGGCCAGATTACTTACAGACACATTCTAATGATTCTCTTTTCTTCCTTGTGATGATTTACTTGAACTAAATGTACTCCTAGTTCAGACTACTAATAGCCACAGTTTACTATTTCTCTTTTCTTTCTTATGATGCAGTAGCATGGTGTTTTGTTATTGCTTTTACCTGCTAAACTCACTTTTAATTTATTTGTTATGCATCTGGGCATACTGCACACTGTTACGAAATGGTCAATAAAATTCTCAATTTTTATGGCAGTGCAACTATTTCTTTGTAAGATATACCAACTGCAGAAAAATACATGTACTGATTACTCCTTTTAGTGAGGTTTCACTGAAAAGAGATTTCATTGTTTCATTTATTCATCAAGTGACAAACTACTCGGGATGTTATATGTGTTTTTCTTCTCCCATTAGGTTGATCATAGCTCAGGCAATGGTAATATGATGCAATGATCCTGCTATCAAGGGTCTATCTTCGATGAAGAAATCAGTCTATCTTCGATGAATAAATCATTCTCACTTGTTGGACAGCATATTTATATGTACTTTTGCTTAATGCCCTATTGTTGATGTGACTTTTGGATCTGTAAACCGTTATGTTTATTTTGCTTTATCCTCTATTACCTTGTCAGTTCTTTGGAACTACAGATATCTTTCGTTACCATGTCCTTTTGTTAAGACTTGTGTTCGGACTGGTATGATATTATCGATTAATCTATGGTATTTGAGTTATTGTTATGTAGTAATATTGTCTTGTAATTTTTGTACTATAGAGATTTTGGTTGATATGGTATGTGAATATGCTATTGGCACAACTGGTTACAAAGATGCAATTCACTCTTGATCACACACATTGATACACACATTGATATGTGCATGATATAATTTACTATTTGATTATGAGGTGTAGCCAGCCAACAGACAATCTATTGTACTAGTAGCTAGCTTTAGCAATGGGCTATTAGTCAGCAACTGGCTATACTATTAGCCTTGCTCTTACCTCTCTCCTCCACATAAGCTTATAGTAGTCTTATAGCTCACTATTATACTTGCTCTAATCCCCAAGCCAGGTGGCAGCGAGGTGTCTCCCCTTCTCCAAATGTCTTTCCACACCATTGCTCCCACTACCTCCTATCCACTGCAGATTTAACGCTGCCGCGGCTGACCCCATCTACCACCTTCCTCCCAACACCTTGGCTCTAGCAGTATAGCCGCCATCTGCCGCCGACCACCTCCCCGTGCGCCCTTCCGTCTAAAGCAGTCCTCACCGTCCCCTATCCCGCTCCACCTCCTGACCCCCGAAATCCTTATTCTAGAATTATTTTGATGTTGCTAGACACCGATGTTGGGAAAGATGAAGGGATCGTTGAGGAACTTGATGTCGTCATTGCTGGTAAGCCATGGTAGCCACCTCACCCTCTCTCCCATCTATTGCCTCACCGCCCTCACTGGTCCATGCTGGCGCTGTCTTCAGGTTGTCGCTGGAGAAGACGTGCTCATCGTAGGAGGGGAAAATATATAGTGTAAACAACATATCTAGTGAAACCTGGAATTACCACAAGATGTAAAAATGGAGAGTAAAAGTTTTACTCATAGTAACGTGAACAAATTTCATAGATCCATTTTTGTATTCTATGGTAATTTTTATGTTTCTACGATACTAGAAAAAATACCCGTGCGTTGCAACGGGTGAAGACTATTTTAATCTTATTACTGTTATATTCTTCAGTTAAGGTGAAATTCATTATGGTAATTTGCTTGGATATATTTTCTTTTTAAAAATCATGAGGTGCGGTTAGGAGTCTGATCATCTCAAGTTAGCATGCAAGTTCTTTTAAGGATATTTCTTATATGACTCCTTTTGTATTTGCGAAAGCGAACAAACTTAAAAGCCGACTCACATACAGACATGTATTTTCAAAAACGAACGAATTTAAAAACCGATTCATACACGGATGACGTACCAAAATACCGGCAAAAACATCTTCAATAGTAGAGATATATGTTTTTTTCTTGTAGGACAAGACCTGCTCACTGGTGAGGAGGAATTTGATTGAAATTGTAAAAACTTCGGGTGACTAAACTCTAGCAATAACCTAAATTTTCTTGGCCCAGCTATATATATACAGATCGACTCAATATGAAGTCACGCATATAATTTGTTTTACTAATCTGGTTGTATAGTTTTTACCTGCCAAATATGCTTATGATTTATACTAATTAATAATGGGTACAAACTTTGACTTTTTGATTTTATAGTATGTCTCCAAAAAAAAAAACAGAGGGACTAGCTAGTGAAGTTGAGTTTTGAAACAAGACCTAGTGTGTACGTGACTCCAAACAAGCACTGACGTACGTTGCGATGATACGAGGATGCATAGATGGATCAATTCTAAAATCAAACAAAGTCCGATAAATTAATTAAGTTGTTGGTTAATCATTATTCCTTAAACCAAATGAGCATGATCTCAGACTTCTTGAACGAACACTCAACACGTACACTAATTTCATAATTTGATTCCAAGCATCCAAAGGAAAACATTCCACAGGTCAATACTATGCTTGGTTCTCATGAAAACCACTACTAGACTAAAACTGTGGATCATCTGCGATTGGCACCTGCGACATTTCAGCTATTTGCAGATCCATGTGCGTACGTAGTCTGATGTCTCCTTCGAATGAAGGAAATTTTAGGGCTTATTCGGTTTGGACGAGTTTGAATTCACAGGAAAAGAAAAGGTAGAGGAATAGTAATGGTTGCACATATTAATTGATTTTTTCCGAGTGGTTTGAATGGATAGAAAAATTCCTATGTTTTCCCGTACAACTGGTAGAAAAATGTGATGTGACAACTTGTATAACCCTCTTACATTATGTTGTTGTACGCGCTTTTAGTATTACTAGCTAGTTAGTGCATGAAAAACGATGTAAACCATTAGTATATGATTAATTAATTATTATCCATTGTACACTTCGAAAATTGGATTAATTTGATATTTTTAGAGAAACTTCTCTATATAAAGTTTTAGCACGAAACACACAAACCCAGGTTGGGAAACGTGGTCGCGTTAAACCAGAGATTAGTCCAGCTCAAACCCAGTTTAGAGCAGGTACAATAACAGAATATAAGCCAACTATAAACATATTTTAAAGAGATAAAAGATGGGAGAGAAGAGTAGCGAGCTACAGATCTGTAGCCAGCTGCAGTACGGACTCTAAGATACAATGCGTGTATGATATGTGTGATCAAATATTAATAGTGTAGTAAGTACCTATTGTACGAATTGGCTATTAATTTGGCTATAGATGATTTGGAGCTAGTAGTTAGGTATACTATTAAACTTTCTCTTAATCTTAATTTAGAACACGACCTTAAACGTCGTGAAACACACAAGATTCTTTTGACTTCACAAAGGTCACACGCCAATAAATATACTGTACACCATCATTCGACAATCAGCGAGCTATACATTATTCACTCGACCAGCTTACAAAGCACTGCATGCCCTATAGCTAGTTTCAGTAGCTAGCAAGCCATTAGGAAGACACACATCAACAAGAATGGCCAGCTGCATCAATGGCGGCGAGCTGCACGTCCGTGTTGTTCACCGGCGACTCGTGAAGGCCTCCGACGAGTCCATCCGGCCTCACGTCCTCGCCGTCTCCAACCTCGACCTCATCCCGCGGACCATCCAGGTCTCCATGTTCTGCATCTACCCCAAGCCTTCCACCGGCGGCGATTTCCACGACGTCGTCGCGGCGTTCGCCGCCGGCTTGCCGTCGTTGCTCAACCACTTCTTCCCGCTCGCCGGCCGCATCGTCTCCAACCCTTGCTCCGGCCTCCCCGAGATCCACTGCCACAACCAAGGCGCGGAGCTCGTCGTCGGCGAGGCCGACGTGGCCCTCGCTAGCCTGGACTACGGTACGGTGGGCGCGTCGGTCGGGAAGATCCTGTTGCCGTACGCCGGCGACGTGGCGCTGTCGGTGCAGGTGGTGTCGTTCGCCTGCGGCGGCTTCACCGTGGCGTGGGGCACCAACCATGTCGTCGTGGACGGGAGCGCCCTGAGCATGCTCGTCAGCGCGTGGTCGGAGCTCGCGCGGTCGGGAACGCTCGCCGCCGGAGCACGGCCGAACCACGACCGCTCCGTGTTCCGGCCGCGCTCCCCGCCGTCGTACGGCGCGTCGCTCGACGAGGCGTTCACGCCGCTCGACGGCGCGCGCCAGGTCAACGTCCTGACGAGCGACGAGAGCTCGCCTGTACTACATCGAGGCGGCGGACATCGCCCGGCTACGCGAGCAGGCGCGGGCGACGCGGGTACAGGCAGTGTCCGCGTACCTGTGGAAGGCCCTCGCCGCGGTGGTGGGCTCGCGCGACGCGCGCTGCCGCATGGTGTGGTGGGTGGACGGCCGCCGGCGTCTCACTCTCTCCTCCTCGCCGGAGCTCCGCGCCGCGATGCGCAGCTACGTGGGCAACGTCACGACCTTCGCGGTCGCGGAGGCCACCATGGAGGAGATCCAGCGGAAGCCCCTGGCGGAGGTGGCGTCCATGGCGCGCGACGCGATCGCCGCGCCGGCGTACGGCGAGCACTTCCAGGAGCTCGTGGACTGGGTCGAGGAGCACAAGGCCGGGAAGCAGCGGTACATCGACACGGCGAGCGTCGGGCTGGGCAGCCCGGCGGTGAGCGTGACGGCGTTCGCGTCGTTCGAGGTGGACACCGACTTCGGCCACGGCCACGCCGCGATGGCGCTGCCCACGTCGTCCTCCAGCGCGAGGCTGTGCACGGGGTTCGTGCAGATCGCCGCGCGGCCTGGCGGCGGCGACGGGTCGTGGATCGCGAGCGCGCTGCTGTGGCCGAGGCTGGCGGCGGCGCTCGAGTCCGACGAGCGGCTGGGGCGCATCTTCAAGCCGGTGACGGCGGAGTATCTTGGTCTCCGGCCAGCGAGTGGTAGCTCGGCGAAGCGGGCAGGCATGATCACCTCTAAAATCTGAACTCCAATAGACTTTGCCTATGCGGGATTCAATATTTCAGAAATAAAATAAAACCCTTTCGTAATTTTAAACAATTTTTGACTGAATTTGAATAAATTTTGCTAAATACGAAATAATAAAGATGTCCTGCCGAAGCTGGTCGAGGTGGTGCGACACCGTGAGCGGGCGCTGCCGCTGCGGTGCTGGCCTCACCGTCGTACAGCGCGTCGCTCGACGGGGCGTCCACCGCATGGGGATGGTGTGGTTGGTGGACGGCCGTCATAGTATTGAAAGTTGATACTCCGTCTATTATTTCATATTATAAGTCGTTTTGATTTTTTTTTCTAGTTAAATTAATTTAAGTATGATTCAGTTTATAGAAAATGATAGTATCATTTTCAAAACACAAACAAATATATTATCAAAATATATAATCAATGCTAGATTTAATGAAACTTATTTTTTTTAGATGTGGCTAAATTTTTCTATAACTTTAATCAAACTTAAAAAAAGCTTTAAAAATATTTAAAATGACTTATAATATAAAATGGAGGGAGTAGCTATTATTCAAGAGTGCAATGCACTATTGTTACGAGAGGTCGAGCTTGTTGTTTTTAATAAAAAGGTTATTATAACATGGGATCTTGTTTGGGTGGGATGATACACACGAGGTATTAATTTCTTATACTGCTGGCGCCGAACTGTTGACGCGAAAAATATACACTGGCCTTGGAGATCTGCTTAGCTCCATTGCAGGTCCAAA